GGGGAATTCTGGGAGTTGAAGTCCACTCATCTTAAAGTGGCCAAGTTTGGACAACACCGCACTAGAGGTAAACTAAAGCCACGGCCGCCCACCTACACAGTACAACTTTAATCATTTAATGCTGAACTTGGACGTTCCCTTCATGGTTCAGAAGCAAAATGAGCACAGCGCTACATTCTCCCTATCTATTCCATCTAATACCAAACTGACAATTTTACCACCAAAAAGCCACCACAAAAATGACACCTTCAGTATTTTGGGATGACTTGTCAGCACGCAGAAAAACAACTTGTATTTCCGAAAGCACTGAATGTTCAAGGCAATGGAGCACTATTTGAAGAGGAAATTGGCTTGATCAAGCTCCCACAAGTTTATTAGGTGGATAAGGGATTGGGCTTCCAAGGAGGCATGTAAGGTCACATCTGTAAGGTTATCCTTACACATCCCTTGCCTAAATATCCCGAATGCTGAGCTTAACTGCGCACACAACTTGTTCAGATGAGAAACAGGCATAATCCCAAATGATAAAATTTTGATCGGTGGTGGCTTCAACGCAGGGTATTTGTGTCAATTTAATTGTTTCCTTTCTTAGTAACTGTAGTAACTGCGGGGAGGGGGTAGTAAAAAAGTACAAAGTATGCCTCTTCCCCCCAATCACTCTTCAGGGATACAGATTCAGTCTCAGCAAGCCTTAAATTTTAGCAATCTGTTCCAACCTGAAATGTGTATGTGAGGTGGGGATGGGATTTTCCAGTCATTCATTTTCCTTCATTTTTGAAGGAACTTTTGTCATTGTTTTCATCCCCCTTGCCCAACCAAACAAAACTGACAACAAAAATGCAACCTCTTAAGTTTTCCAATTTTGTTCACACAGAAAAACACAGGGTGAGATCTAGCATTCCTAAGAGAATTATTGAAAACCAAATTAACTGTGTATTTTGAAAATGTTCCTTTGGATTCCAAAACTAAACATAAAATCAGGATCTACTGAGATGCTCAAGCTTCTTTCAAAATAGCAGTTGTTTCAGGATGAAAATGGACCCTCCTCGTTTAAGTTCAACCCTCTGCTATTTATATTAATTGCTCAACTCTCTTTGTAGGCTTGCACCGCCTGCAACCCATTCCCATAGTTCAATACAGCCAAGGTCTGACTATTCCCTTGTTTCATAATTCCAGGCAGATAATGGAAACCAAAAGATTATTGAATGCTCAGAAGGTTGCTTGGCTTGGTCGAGCATTTTAATCAGTATAAAATATACTGCATAATATTGTTTTTCAAAATAGGGTAGATAGAGAAAGGTAAACATTCCTTCTGATTACAAGAATATTTATGGCTTTTGACATATTAGAGCCTAGCAATAAGAACCAAAAGTACTTGTTGAATTTGGGGAAGGAGCTCAAACTTTCACACAGAAATCCATCCTACTTTGTTTCATACTGACAACTTTTCACACCCTTTATTTTCAAAACTCTCATTATTTACCTTAATTCATTATTACAAACTTCCAGACAGTTGCTTCCTTATGTCATTTGACTGAGGAGTCATGAAATCCTAGCACCAATTCATTTGTGAAATAAATCTAATTTCTTCCTTGAATTGTGTCCAGCTGCATCTGTCAGTTAAGGAACAGAATTCACCAGTGTGGCAGATTTTCTGCTGCACACACTCCAAATTGGATCCAGAAGATTGCGGTTCCTTTAGAGCAGATTTGGGGAAGTGAAGCACAGGACCACAAGAGAACAAGAAGATATCCTCTTGTATATAGAAATCTACTTAGGTAACCCACAGCATTTAAAGATGGATTATTTTCCAAATTATATCTCGCCCTCTAGTAAACTAGTTAGAAGAAGCAAATTTTCAAATATGAAATCTAATCAAACTTCTGTTACTGATCTTTAGATCCAAAAGTAAAGGTCAGAGGAACTATTTTATCAATACATACTACAAATGAGAGTTAACTCCTGTCTGTAGCATCTCTGTTCCATGACTGCTATCCTATCATGCTGTATTTCTTTAAACATGTATTTAAAACAGAAAAAAACCCTCCACATTTACAGCAAGAGCCTCCAAATTCAAACATAAAGGATTCCCAAGTGCTACAAACACATCAGTGTTTTCTATGATAACCGCACGAAGAACAGAAAGTTGCCTCAAACACACTACAAAGCTCAGCATTCACAGCTTCCAGAATCTCCACTATATGGTCTAAGCATTTTTGGATTATCCACTTCCCCTTTGTGTATATCTGTGCTTTGTAAGCACACGTCAAATGCTGGTATGACCACAGTATGATTAAAAAAAAACAGTAATACTTAGTGGGCATGACAAGGCTAACAAAATATATATATACGACACGTTTCTGAAAGCCAGTTTAAATATGGGTTTGATTCAAAGAACAAACCCAAAGAGCAAACATCTTCTCAAGCCCCAGTCTGCATCAATGAATGAAGCATGACTTGTGCAACTGACTCTACTATTTTTTTAAACATGAAAAACTGGCTGAAAACATGAAAAGCAAAGAACATGAAAAGTAAGAACAGTGGTAGGAATCACCACATTACAGAGGGTGTATATAAAAATACCACTACCAGTGACTGAGACAAAGCATATACTTTGTTCTATTTTCTTCTTCACCCTAGCACACTGTATGTAAACTTGTGCCTTTTAGGGTATTCTGGATTATAGCTCCAATAACTGCTAGCCAACATAATTGATGGTAATGATGATGTAGAATTCTAAGAACTGTAATTCAGTATGTCTGAAGGGCATGAACTGGGTAAAGCTCTTTGAAACTAAATATGTATGTGCACCATATGTCATCTTCCTAATAAGGATTTTAATATTAATCTAATTAATGAACACACAGATAGTCACGTCATACTGCTGGGTATTTTACCCCGGGGTAGTTCCAATTCCTCTCATCATGCAGAGATCATGCCTGCCTATCTCTGCAGAGGTGGAAATGGTTACATATATATATCAGGGATGTTTCTTTATTTGCTTAACAAAGATCTGGTTACTGAAATTACTATTCACTGAGTAAAACAGTTTGAAAATTCATTAGGAAAAAGAGCAATCAGTTCTCTTTTCTACGATTTGTAGCTACCTGGGATAGAGGCTTCCCAGGAAGTTTTTAATTTCATTTAGTCTACAAGAGAGTCCTCTTCTGAGCCATGTTTCTAGTCACATTCCAGCATATAAAAGCAGCAATTAAATAAAGGATGGGTGGATGGGAACAATTTTGAAGGTGAGATTCTGTAAAACCATCTGAAACAACTAAAAAAACATCAGTAGGAAATATTTTCCCAAAGAACCGTTATAAATTTCATAATGGATTTCTACTTTTTTTCTCCAGGTATTTAGTATATCCTGCGTGTTGTATAATCCAGAACCATGCTAGCAGCTCCAAGCAAGGCAGGATCTGTCAGGTCTGAGACAACCACATTCACTGTCTGCACAGAGAATAAAGCTCGCTGACGGATCACATCTTTGACCACATTGACATAATGACTTGCCAAGACACCAGAAAGTATCACAAGGGAGGGACTAATGGTGTGCAGAACATTAACAATTCCAAGGCCCAGAGCTGTTCCTGCTGTAAGGAAAAAAAAGAAACATGAGTCAGGGAAAACATAGGCATTAGTCAAGAAAGTAACTCTTTCCTTCGTATAGATTAGTCTTTCCATCTGAGTGCTCACCAGATGTTGGGACTACAACTCCCACCTTGCCTTTGCCGATGCTGACTAGGAATTCTTGGAAATGTAATCCCAACATGTGCTAGTATATGGCTACACTTTTTTCTCACAATCCTCTCTAATTAAACAGAACTTGCACAAATCTTATTTGTAAGAGAACCACAGATGAGCAACTGCCTCTTTCACACCACTTTCAACTGTCCAAAATACAGCAGTTATCTACATCACTCTGAGACACTAACAGCTTAGCTAATTATGATAAAAACAATCTCTTCTATGCAATATAACATACTTATAATCCATAATTCTAGTTCTAATGATGTTTTATATCCTTAGAACTTCACTGGTTATTTTTAGAGAACTACTAACAATTAAAAACACAGTAAAATATATTATGCTCAGAAATAAAGATTTCTAAATATGAAAGAAAAAAAAACTGGGGGGAAAATCCTAAGCATAGAATTCAAGGAACCACTTTTGGGTTTCAAGGTAAACATGTTTTCACTGATACAAATTCTTTTCAAGACAGTCATGAATATGCCAGTACAATCCCATTTCTTTTTTCCATTGTCTGTTAAACCCTTCAAATATGGTCACTAGAGATAAGAAGTGTATGTGTGGGGGTGTGACTGACTCTTTCAGAGAGGCTTGAAGGAAAGGAGGAGTACAGATTTGAGTAATAACAACTGCAGTAATCATAATGGTGGGGGGGGGGGCGGTTGGTGCCTTCTAGTCAATCTTGACTCCTGAGAAGTCCCTGCAATGTTCTTGGCAACATTTTCAGAAGTGGTTTACCACTGCTTTCTTCCTAGGACTGAGAGAGAGGGACTGGCCCAAATTTATTCGCCAGCTTTGTGTCTAAGGACTAGAACTCACAGTTTCCCAGTTTCTATTCCAGTGCCTTTAATCATTATACTAAACTTGTTCTCAATAATAATAATAAGGCTTCAACGTTTTTTAAAAAGTGTTTCTTGCTCATTCTCTGGATTACATTATAGAAATGCTGTTTTAGGCTCAAATATAAATGTCTAAAAATTGGATTGAGTCTATGTTCTGAGGATCCATCTAAATAAATACATACATACACACATAAATAAATAAATAAATAAATAAGCAATAAGTATCAAAACATGATCTCTACTGCATTCAGATTACATAAACAGGCATCTTAAAGTTTTAAGAATTAGATTCTATGATAGCAAGTATGGCTCAGCAAAGTTTACATGAGGGCTTGTCGTCCAAAGAACAGAAATGAAGACTGCTATCCATTAATAAAAAAGCTCCCTTTCCTATTTTACTGATAGACATCTTCCATCACCAAGGGATACTCGCGGAATACCTGCTAGGCAGCTTGACTTTATGGTAATCAGATGCTCTGCGTTGTAGAGGCAATGTGATTCTCTTGCTTAAGCAAAAAGGCAACCTGTTTTGCCTCAATGAAGCACTTGGTGTCACCTCAAAGCCTTAACTGTCACCACAAATAGTTGGAAGAAGCTCTACTCATGTGCTGAACAACTGGAAGTGCTAGAACAAGCTTCAGAAACAAGTGAAGCAAAGCAAAGTAGCTGCTTTAGTTTCAGAAGCAGAAGTGGGAACAGGGCTACAAAGATCAACTTTGAAAGGGTGATTCAACTGAACCACCCTCAAAGTAAATAATCTAGCAAAGCTTTGCACAATTGTATTGAAGATGATCCTCTCTACCTCTAACTACATTTTTTCACCTCTATCCCTCCTTATCTTGCCTTGTCTGTTTTTTCCCTCCCTTTGTATTTCCAAAGGAAATTTAAAATGTTATCTTATCGGGAGAAGAATACAGTATCATTATTATAACTATTTTTGGTATCGTTTTATAACTGAAGCAAACAAAGATGATGTTTTAACAGTAGCAATAAATTAAAATCACATATTTACCACTAGCCAATATTCTAACAAAGATTTCAGTCTTAGGTTTGTATTTTTACCTGTTCTAACAATATTGTCAGCTTTTGGGTTTCCCAGTTTAGCTGCCTGAATAAGATGTGCAGCAGTTATTGTATCTTCTTTTTTCATAGACATCTCTCCAATTAATAATGAATCCTCTGCTTGGAGAAAAAAATGGAATGGGAAGAAACCAGAACTAGTAATTAGGTATAAAAACAGACAGGCTGATTATTACATTTTACCAAACATTAAAAAAACACCATAGAAAATACCATAAATGAAGTTTTATATCTATTTTCCAGTGTGATATCCCACTGGCTTCCTACAGATGTAAAATGATTCTACATACATATGCATCAGAAAACTGGAACAGACTTAGTCTGTTTTTTTTACCAGCAAACAGATTAAGCAATGCGAATGCAGATTTAACCTTCACTTTCCTGATGTTGGACTTCAAGTCCTTTAATTGGTATGGTCAAGAGAAGACTTTTCTTTTCTTTACATTTTCATATCTAAGTTTTAATTCAATTGTCTATAAATACACGTTCATATGCACATAAACACACAAATATTGCTTTTTGTTTAATTATCTTTAATCAAAAGAATTTTCATTGTAATAGTAAAATCTAATACAAAATAAACTTAAAGAAAGAAAGGAGAAGAGAGAGGAGTAAAAAGTGCAAGGAAAAAGAAAAAAGAAGAGAAAAGTTAGAATATAATAAAAATATATAAAGAAGTGACTTCCAACCTTCATCACAAGTATAAACAAATTTAGTAATTCATCACTCTCTCTAAAGTTACATTTATCTCTTCATTCTATATCCCATCTCTTATCTATAAACAAATCCATAAAACATCATCTCTTCAGTCCTGATATCAGCAGAAAGTAGCCAGAAGTAACAACGTATCTTGTTTTACCCTTGATCAAATAAACCTTTACTTCTAACAGACTCAATCTTTAGCTGATTCAAATATTGTTGCAGGATTTGATTTCTCTTCATTTCTTCTTTGTCCCATCACACAGAATTGCTCAAGGCTTTAACAAGCCTGTTTTGTAAATCCAACAGGAAAAATATTATTCAAGTCACTCTTGATTTGTTATTTGTATTTCCCTTTTAAATTTCTTTTGTAGATCCAATAAAACATCCTTTTCTAAATCATTCTCTTGGCCTGTCAGTTGTAAATCTACTTTCAATACTAACTCTATCTTATCAGATAACATTTGTTCTACATCTGACATTTCTTCAATGACATCTTTTGGACACAGTCTACCCACAAAAGCGGACATCATCACTGACATTTTTTGATATTATGGCTACTATTTTCTGATTCCATCCTTCAAAAGTCTCCTTCAGTATTTTTATTTTCAAAACATTTTGCATCATCTTACTGGCCTGTATATCTTTCCTCTACCTAAAATCTTTAGTCCCCTCTAGTGTCCAGTTTTTGAAATCATGAAATTGCTTATCTATGTTGTGTCTTATAAAAACCAAAACAGGATCCATTTCCCACAAGAAGCTGTTTGTACTTTATAATTAATTCGAAAATCTTATTATAAAAGTTTCAATATTCCAATTTTAACTGGACCCTTAGTCTATTTGTAACTTTCAAAGATCAAAATCTTGTTTAGCCTTTTGCTGTTTATTTCAGATTCTTTAAATCTTAAACTTAGATTAAAATTTTCTTTTGTTCAGGACTGAAGGCAGACTCACCTGGCATTTTCAAACTTGTCTTTCTGAAGGTCTAATAGCTTAGAAGTAGTTAATGAGCAATTTCCGAAAGTGATTAGAAAGTGAGGTTTACTAATTTAGTGTCCTTTAAAAGTCTCCACTGTGATTGCGAGCAAGATGGCTAATCCGTCTCCCAGCGCTCAAACCAGTGGAAAACCACTGTCCTGTGGTCTCCTCGTGAGGAGCAGCCATCCAGAGCACATGGGGGCAATCTCCTGTCCTCTCCTTATCTGGAGAAATTCCAAGGAACCGGTCTACTTTTCTACTGTATTCTGGATGAAACTACAAGCAGTCAAATAGTATTCTGTCCTTGCTCTTACTGGTGAGATGCACTTCAAATTCTTTTTCTGCTTCCTATCAATTAGTTAATTATCTTATGAAAACCAGAAATAGCAAGAGTGGCAACTCCTTATTTCAAAAATATTTGAAAGGTATTAACAAGTCAGTAACAGCTAACATTTGATTGTAACAGGGAGGCATCTTTACAACTTGAAACTGACACAGTGCAAATGAAGGTATTTATATAGATAGGATATTACCCTATGTTTAGTCAGACCTATGGTCCAATTTACTGTCAAATATTGCCTCTTTAATATTTCAGACAGAGTTTTCTTAAACTGTTGTGCCTGGATTATTTTAGTTATAGATGCTAGCTATTAAACCTAGAAATATATATGCGCATTATCCAAATATCCTTCCCTTAAAAGGTGAATCCCAAGTAGACATAGGACATCTTACAGAAAGAAACCTGTACTTAACAGAGGACCACAGCCTGAGAATCACAAATCCAGCAATACTTCACTTATTCTTGAGTCTACATAGTCATTTGAAGATGAAGCAGCAGCCAAAGAAAATAAATAAAGCAAACCTGAATAATACTGGTCTGGCAGCATTATGAGGATTATAATTTGGCATTCTGTAAGATATCCAAGCATTTCACCAAAGCACAGATTTATAAAAAAGGTGAAAATTGAAATCAGATAATTAGTTTGAACTATAGAAAAGCAGACCCAGATTTCAGCTCTGCAAATATATGTAAGTGCATTTAGTCATTAGTGGGTGACGCATATATTGCCATAAGAAAGGCATTTTCCATGTTCCATCTACCAGCATTCTTCCCATGGGAGATTGAAAATTTTCAGATCAGTGCTATATAAGTCCTGATAGAAGTACCTAATGTAGCCTGTGTAAATATGGGCATGCCAGTAGATTTGCCTTTCACATAAGCTTCCAGTAATTGGTTTGGCTTTGGGAAACAAATTAACACATGTCAGTACAGAAGCATGTATTATGACACCTTAATTATTAAAATGTAGCTATTAAATAACAAGTGCATTTTATGTGGACTTTTTTTTTGGTTGCTCACATTTACACATTCGAATCGCAGTAGGGAACGTGGGAACAGATACAACACCCCACCTACCGTCATGCAGTCTCTTAGCTTCTCTCTGCAAGGCTATTCCAGAAGCGTATGCTTCTATGCAGCCGTGGTTCCCACACAGGCACTCTGGTCCATCTAGTGCTACCACAATATGCCCAAGCTCAGCGGCACAAAAAGAGCTACCGTGAATTAATTCATTTTGATGAATGATTCCACCACCAATACCTGAAAGAAAAACATCAGGACGTCTTCACTAAAATCTGAAGTCAAGAAAATAGGTAGCATTCCAACTTACTAATTTATCATACGCAATGTGCAATCACATCCCATTGCCCAGACTTTTTTTTGAGCGGTTCTGTGTTTGATGGTGCTCTCTCTTGTGCATAACCAGCAAAATTGCTTTTTTTTTTCCAATTTATCACCCTCATTCCCATTCTCTCTTGGTCCATTCTTGTTTGATATTCCTTCAGGTTGCTTGTTTATCCAATGCTCCATTTATCAGTTTTTCATCCCTTCCCCCCCCCCTTTTCTTACTGTTACACTCTAATATTTTGTTTAAAGACTATAATTTTTCAATTGTACTTTTTTTTTTTTACTTTGTCTCCGGTGTTCATTAATACTTCCTGCAAATCATTAAGTTTTTTTTTTCTATGTAACAGTAAATGATGAAGGTCTCTGTCCATCTATTTTCTGGTTTTTGTCTTTGAAGGTAGTATCTATGTGTGCATTGTATCAACAGAGGTGTATGTGTCAACATTAGCCAGTATCATTGGAGAGATGAAAGATGGGGGCTGGGGGTAGTGATACTTAGACAAATTGGGCTAGCAAAGGATTACTGGAAATGTGAAGAGTGTTGTAAAAGTGTTATGAGCAATATATTGAGCAGTTGCTACTGTCAAAATATAACCTGAAAATGCCACCTATTTCTACGTCTGAAAATGTTAATTTCCTGAATAATAATTTAATTTTCCTGCAAATATAATTATATGCATTGTTAAGCTTTTAATTGTTGCATGCCACATAATGAGAAAGTGGAACTCTATTTTTTCTGATTCATACTCTGGAATTGGGAATGAGTCATGAGAGACTATCCTCTGGACTGACACAAGTCTGATCAGGTGGTCCTTACACAGCCCTAGTTTAAATCTAATAAAATAACAGAAAACACAAGAAAAGTTTCGTATTATTTGAATTAATTTCAATTTCCTGTTCAAATCCTACATTTCCTGTAGTTTAAGGGAACTTAATTGCACACCCAACAACAGCTGGATAGAGATTATAGCCATTTGCACATGATCCATTACAATAACTATAACATTATTTGAATAAGTACAAGATGGAATTATTACTTGATTCCAAAACAAGACTGAAAACTGTTTAAGAAGGGGGCCTAAATTTATGCTGGATTCTGGCCGGAGGAAATAGATACCTGTCCCAGTGATAACGGTTACAAAGTTTTCCACTCCTTTCCCATGTCCAAATTTTCTTTCTGCTAAAGCTGCACAGTTGCCATCATTATCTACCCACACTGGCAAATGCAGAGCATCTGATATTGGTGTCCGCAAATCAACAGCGTTCCACTCCTGAATAAGCTTTGTGGAATGAAGAACAACACCTTCTCGGGGATTTACTCTTCCACCTGTAGAAATGCCTGAGCCACAAAGCAGATTTCAAGACAGATGAAAAACAGGATAGAACTTGATTAATTCTAGCATTTTAAAAATATATAAAATAAAACTTTGTTAAGCATTAGCTTCCCATTCTGAAACGAAATCAAGGACGTCCCTTCCTTGAACATCTAAATTTAGTAGTTCTTTTTTACATTACTTTCAACTGTAAGAATTTTTCAATAAAGCCCCAAATAAGTAAAGAACTGTTGTCATATGGTAACTCACTCCAGAATTTACTCTTTAAATCTGCACTATCTACTAAGATGCAGACACATCACTGTCTGAATTCACTTTTTAACCATTGTACCTCATTCATAGAGTATTGCAGAAAAAATACAAGACAGGACAAAGTCTGCAATGAATGTAGAGGTTGTCAGGAACTGTCCTGTCCATTTCAATCTAACCCTTGATGCTCAATCAGTGCCATTTCTGCCTATTATAATTTTGAGGGGAAAAGTATAATTGAAGACCACATGTACAAATTCTAATACCCTTCCCAGAAGTACGACTTATTATGAAATATATATGGCACGAAACTTGAGAACTTTATCTATTTATTCATTTGGTGCCTTCAGATCAGTTTTTGACTCCCGGAGACTGCCTGGAGACACCCCTGCAATTTTCTTGGCAAAGTTTTTTGGAAGTGGTTTGTCCTTGGCTGCTTCCTAGGGTTGCGAGAGAGTGACTGGCCCAAGGCCACCCAGCTGGCTTTGTGCCCACGGTGGGACTAGAACTCACCGTCTCCGGGTTTCTAGCCTGGTGCCTTAGCCACTACACAGAACTGGCTCTCTGAGAAGTGTATACCAACTTTAATATATTAATACATTTTGCAGTTTATAAACACTAATGTACCTGTTTGTAATATTTAGCACTTAACAAACTGTTCCTTTTATTATATTTAAAATGCAGGACAATATCAGGGGCACAATGCTAATTCTTGCCTTCATTTCATAAAGGAGAAAAATATGATGCTTGTTAAACTTACCTACACCCAGAATTCTGCAATTCAGGTCTACTGCTTCTGAGGCAGCTTCTACGCACATCTTAAGGATCAATTCTATTCTATCCTCATAAGTTTTAGGGTTCAGCTGTGTGTATTTCTTAACTATTTCACCCTAAGTGAAAAGAAAAGCCCATCAACCTCTGTTTTTCTAAGTACTTTCTGCTGTTGTAAAAGTGCTGTTTCCACAGGATATCAAACATGGAATTGACTGACGGATTACGTGCCATCAAGTCTTTGTCGACTCTTAGTGACCAGTCAGAATCAAAACTGAAGAGATGACGCATGTATTACATGAAGCAAGCAAATGCTGTAGGTAAAGAGAAGTCTTTGTACGCGTGCCTGCACTTTCCTGGTCACGCAAACCACATGCCCAAACTCAATGTCAGCCTATTTTGCTTGCCTGCAGAGGGGATGAAAATGGTGGAGTTAATCAATTCTGCAACAGAAAAAGAGCAATGTAGGACAGTCCCTGGTCTAAGACTTCTTTTAAAAATTAATTTAATTAAATTAATCTGATCAGTTAAAAAGGAACCTAACAAGAGTTTGAAGGGGAAAAACATATCCTATTCTTAGGTGGCCTAAAGAAGACAGAAGGTGCAGTTCTAAAAGAGCACCCTCCATTACAACAAAGGGAGAAACAGCTCGGCTAAACAATACCTGTCAACTGCAATTTTTACAAGTCTTACGTTCAAAATAATTTTTGAAAAAGTTTGGTTAGGAAGGATTTTTAAATGGCTTAATATTTGCAGTCCCAAGGCAGTGTTCGCTGTGGCATGGGAGTCTAAAACCACATTGTGTGCATCAGTGCAGAGCAGAATTCATATTCAGTGACTATCCTTTTAATTCCTCATACCCAGCCCACACTGTGTTTCCTGAATCAGGATGTACCTGTGTACGACAGATCTTCATTTTGTTTTAGATCAGTGTTTCACTTAAACTTCATCCAATGTTTAAATTACACCATAGTGTAGTCGATTATTTGAAAATTGGAATTATTTAGTTGCATTTATATTCCACCTATGATCCAGGACGTGATGATATGGGGGTCTAATCTCATTTTACCTCCACAACAACAACCCTGTGAGGTAGGTTAGGCTGAAAGATAGTGAATGGGCCATAATCACTTAGCGTATGGAACACTGAAACATCTGTTATGTTTGTCTATTGTATCAGAATTGATATTGTGAACCAATCAGTATTTATTGGAGCAGTCTACATGTTACACTCTAATTGTTTTCTCTTTTCTTCCTCCACAACCTGTCTTCTAGTATCAGAGATTTTCTCCTCTGAACATCTAATTTATTACCAACATGCCAACCTCCTACGAGAGGCAGCCATGCTTTAGTAAGAAGGCATACAAGGACGTGGTGCATTTTTAAATGATATATGAAAGGTGAATTTATTACACTTAAAATTATCAGTGTTAAGCGTGTATATTCTCACCAAGACTTCCCACCCCATGTGGAAATACGAACTATTAAAGTTTATAATTACCTTCATGCTGACAATTGCTACTCGGAGGTTTGTTCCACCCAGATCCACTGCCAGGGCACTCTGGGTTTCTAAGATATGATCAATATCTTGGGAAATGCTTTCTTTTACAGTGGGGAAGCAGAATTTCTTTTGAAGGGGTTCCTGGAGGTCAATAGATTTAAGGAACTTCAGAATTCTTGGAACAGCATTTCCATCTCCATATATTTTTGAACTGTAACATCAAATGGAAGCAATTATAACATTTCAAAACAGAAGGAAAATATCTTACAAGCCAAACCTATACATTTAGATTATGAGTAGGAAAAAGCAAATATACTATTATATCAGATATAGGCCAAACTAGCAAAAAAGTACACCTATTATTATTACTACCCTGGTTCTATTAACATTATAAATAAAAAATAAGATGGCAATTCTACACACACTTACTTGGAAGTTGATCCTTCTGAATATAGCAAAATAGACTTTTTAATAAACATGCACCAGTTCTGGCTGCTTAAAACAGATACAAGAAGCCTACTTTCAAGGCCTAAGTTAAATGAATATGAAGAAAAAGAGTGGTGGAAAACAGTAAACATGCGAGATCAGTTAAAACAGGTAGTTTTCAAATTAAAAAAAAAATTAATGTTAATCCTTTTAAAATTATGCCTAAAAGTTTCATGTGCTTGAAAAAGTAATCCAAATTACAGGTAGTCCTCATTTAATGACTGCCTTGGACAGCGACAGTTCACAATTACGACGATGATGAAAAAGTAACTTTGCAACCAACGTGCGCATTTATGACTTTCACAGCATCTCTCTCAGTCACGCGTTCGTCATTACAGTCAGTTAATAGGGTATCGCATTGTCTTGTGCCTTTTTTTTTTGACATGACATAAACTAGGTTGCTAATCCTGAAAATCCCACACACTATATCAATCCTGTTGTCAGATAGTCAGAAGTTCCTGCAGCTGCCTATAACCAAGGAAGATTAAACCAGAGAGGCTCTGAACCATAGATCATTTATTAGTATGCAACACAAGCTTTTAAAATTCTATTTCAACATTTTTATTTGTTACACTAATTACACTAAACTTTTTTTTAATAACAAATAAAAAAATAATTAGTATCTGACTTTAAGGCAACTGTAAGCTTGTCAATACCAGATCATATCCATCTACAAATCAAGATATTTTCATCTCTAAACCAGTGTTTCTCAACCTTGGAGACTTGCAGATATGTGGACTTCAACTTTCAGAATTCCCCAGCCAGCATGGCTGGCTGGGGAATTCTGGGAGTTGGTCCACATGTCTTAAAGTTGCTAAGGTTGAGAAACACTGTTCTAAACAGACAGTTGAACTAACTTTGAGTCGATATGTCATAAACCTACCTTAGTGTGTCCATGAGAATAAATACCCATCCATCCATCCATCCATCCATCCATCCATCCATCCATCCATCCATCCATGCAATAAAATACAAAGCCAGCCAAAATGTTGGGCAATCTGCAAAATGACTACTGGGGGAAAACGTGCCTATTCATAAAATGCTGCAGTGACAGACATAACCAGTTACAAAGCACAAATTGGCCAAATGCGATTTGCTACTCCTATGAGCTTTCCTTCCTGAACTATGTTCCCTATGACCCCCCGCTTACTTTTGTCCTTTTCCTGGAGTGGCAGATTCATTTCCAAACAAAATGCAGCCATAGGTCATTTTTATTTTCTAAGGAAGCTTATGGAACCCATTTGGATTATATGGGTTTTCTTGGACATCAAGATGGTGCTAGAAACCAGTGTTCTGCAGCATGCTAGCTTAACTATTTATTTTAATGTAAAAAATATCTAGATGTGCAGGGAGCCTGGGACTTGCCAAGGGAGGTATCTATGGACACAGTCATCTCTATGCCTTAACCTTTCAAGAAAAGCAGGCAAGCATTTTTTTGATGAACGATAGTAGTAAAGCTGAAGCAAACAGATATAAGTCAGAGGAATGAAGTTTGCAAACCATCATTTTCTATCTAGGACAACATAAACAAATAACTTATCACAAAGACACTTTTCCAATGTCACATATCAGCCTATTTGTACTAAACTGATGTTTTGAAAAAATTGTAATGTATAGTAATATTTTCCCTTGGTGCCTTAATATTTCCTACAGTCACTTGTACGGCTTTACTCACCAAGGGTATTGTTTCCCAAACTGTATGTGTAAAGCTCGAAGTATCTTGTCTTGGGAGTCAGCATCCCGCACGTGAAGAACATTTTCTCCTCAAAAAAATAAAAAAAACGCAGAACAGCAAATGACATATTAGAAGAAACTGAATTTGAAATGAACAGTACTTGCTTACTGTAATACAGGAAGGACTGAACACTGCACCAAAACATAGTTTAAAAAGCTGACTTTGTTGTTACTCTGCATTGCAGCAAATATGTTAACGTAATTATTTAAATAATTAAAGCTCCTAAACTGAGCTTCTTTCCCTGTATTTTAATTATTGTTACTTGCCTTGAGTTCTTGGCTGAAAAAATAAATAATAAAACAAAAAACAGCCATGTTCTGATTTTCATATACTGTATGTTGACAACGTGCATATTTTACAATATTATCTACAGAGCTGAATTAATAAAAGGGTCTTTTTTGTTTTTTGTTTTGTCTGTGCTCAGTCATTGCTGACCCTGCAGTGACTGCTTGGACGAGTCCTTGCAGTTTTCAAGGCAACTGT